TTTAATCATACCTGCTGGTTGGAGTACAAGAAATTTTAGAATGTCAGATAGAGAAATCACACCCACAACATGATCACTAGGGTCAACAACCACCAATCTGTGAACCTACAAATGAAACATTTAAAATTCTGGTATTTAGATAAAAGATTTTAAAGCTTTATTCCAAATTATAAAATCATAAAAAATAAATATATAGTCATACATTACTTAATTGGTAGATAAAGAAGTATATTGACAAATTACATTGCTAATCCTTTCTTAGGGAAGAAACATACATGTAGGTTTTAATAATTTTATATTGGTCAATTTGGAGTTCTCAAATAAAATGAGAACTATTGTTATGAGAAATATAGATGTTTTGAAAAATCAAAATTCAACTTATGTCCTGATTACTTTGAAGTTTCAGTATGGATTATATTTCAGAAATTTAGATTCCAGTCTATTATTGGTACACTAGTTCTCTTCCACAGCAATAATATTATTGAGGGGAAAAACTATACCTTGAGTGATTTGTTCTATATGACAAGAGATTACTCAAATTATCAAGGATACACTAATTTAGAATTATATATAAAGCTACAAAAGGGCTACCTGAGCACAGTATCCCTAATTTTAAATTAACATATTATAGGAAAGATGGCTAGTTAATAGCACCAACCAATAACTCTTAGGCTATACTTTTCTGATTGAATAGTGCAATTCGATTGTCATTGGCACACCCATGGCCCCAAATGCAAAGCTAATGTAGGTGGCCACAGGATGCAAGCAATTAACCTTCAGATTCAAAATCTGTGTGCATACCACAAGGCCATACCTGGCCAAAAATATATTAATTTCTGAAATTTTTTAACTTTAATTCCTTAAAGCATTATGAAAAGTTCAATTTTTAGAAACAAAAATGACATATATAGTTTTACGAAATCAAGCTTCTTCAGAGAACAGCCATATACATGTTGTCCCACTCCTCTTAAAAGCTGGTTTATGGAAAGTTTACAAGTATTAACTTCCAATCATACATTTCAGCAGACCAAAGACAGAAGTCCTTTGAAACTGCATCAGGAGACTTGGCAAGCTTTTGGTTAAACATGATTGTTGTATATAGCTTTTTTGATCATATTATTAATGAAAACACACTGATTTGTAGGTGTGGAAGAAAGCTTGGGAACTTTTGGCTTGCAAGATGTCACATTTAAATCCTTGTATTAATAATGCCAGGGCATATACCCAGCTTCATTGCAGTGGATGGCTAGATCTGAGGGCTCTCTTTCAAAACCAGCATTTATATTGCAAATTAACCTAATGGTTAGGGTGGGGGCCAAAGAGCACATGACACACCCTTTCATAGTGTCAATCGCTATGGTATTTTTTACTTGATGTCAGAGTTACCATCTATTAATTTTACCCTACATTGCTGATTTGGCAACATTTTGTGGTAGAGGAGAGTAAATAATAGATACAGTAAACAAAGATACTGAAAAAAACTGTAGATATGCATTTCAAAGGTTCTAGAGTTGATGCAATATACAAACTGTATGATGGACAAAAGTATTCTTGTTCTTAATATGAACATCACCTTGCACTCACACTTGCCAGACTGATGCTGTCAATTCAGAGATATTGACTTGTCACGAATTTCGTACAAAGCAGTGCATGATTAGAGGGAAGGCAGCTGGTCATCACCAACTCTTTTACCAATGAATAGTTGGATTGACCATCACATTATAACGCCCCCATGGCTGAAAGGGCGAGCATATTTGGTGAGACGGGGATTAGATCTCGCGACCCACAGATTGCGAGTTGAGCACCCTAACCATCTGGCCATATCAGGCTTGAGATATATATTTTGAGTATAAATACTTTTGTAACACAACTAATTTTATGTACAACAGATTTTTACATTTTAATAAAAGTGTGTCACATTGTGTAGATAAGCGTAGTAAATATGGAATTATATTCAACATTCCTTCTCTAATACTATGCACATTTGGTTAAAGTGGTTTAGAATGTGGTTTGATGCCCAGTGCTGTCCTAAATGTTCTGTCAGGAAGATTAATAGACTTTCCTTTCACAATATTTTATCTCTCAGCTTTATATCATTTAATGATCTCTCCATTTAGATATTTATCTTTGGAAAAATAAGTCACATATCCTTCCAACTACCTTTCAAGTTTTGGAGTTATTTTACAAGTTCAGTCAATGTCTGTATTTAATGTGGCATTTCTAGAACTGTTACAACATTTGCAAGGAAATGGAATCTAATTTGCATGTGTTTAAATTATGTAAATCATCCTCTATATACAGCAATATACCCTATTTATACTTCTGTAAAACTTCCAACCTCCTCCCTTTTAATAATTATTACAAAATGGTGTTTAATGGTATTAAATAGAGCTAAAAAACCCTTACCTTCATAGTTCTATAACATTTATCTAAATTCACATTCTCCTCCATTTCTTTCAAAAAAATTGTTCAAGTATAAATCTAACATTTATATCTAAATATTAGGATGATTGCTGAATTTAATATAATTTTTTGTAATACATAATACTTATTGAAAATGGTGGTGGTTGGGAGTATTTAAATTTTAGGATAGGATGGTTTATTTCAACTACAATGTACTTTTTGTATGTCTAAAGACTGGGGGTGACTGCCTTCCCACAACTGGCTGGAGACAGCAAAAGGCAGTAGGAGATGAGATATTGTGGGTTTAAGCACTCAACTCACAAACCCCAATTGATTGTTAGAGGCTGCTAATTAGTTCAACATCTGCATTTGGATCAGGTCTGATGATGGAATATCTCCAATGCTTTTGGGATCTATGATCACAGGCATTTTCCATTATGACTTAATGGTAAAAGGGCTGGTAATGGACAAAATATTTTTTAAGTCTCATTGCAAACATTTTGGCTTTGATTTGTATTAACTGTATTATTGTTATATAGTGCCAATTTACAATTAATGTAATGTATAGTACTAAAACTATGTATTGATTTATTTTTGTGGGAAATGATGTTAAAGTGTTGATTTAATCATCCTTTTCAATAAATTTCTTCCACATTTATTTGTATTCTAGTACTTAGCCTAGCTAGCTACTTACCAAAAATCTAAGTAAGCTACTTCAATTTATGAAAATGTTAAGTGCAATAGTTCAAGATATTTAACTTATTCAGCTGCTGGATTTTCAATATTTATGTCAAGATATACCATTATGTAAATTACATAATATAATTTATTTATTTATTCAACTTGTGGTTTAAAGTATACAGGACAAACCACAAATCTTTTATATCTAAGGATTAATTTACATAGATCTTGAACCAATACAAGTTTTCCTAATTGCATTTTAATTGACCATTTTAATAAACATTCATTTGCTGATGTTAAAATTACTATCTTAGAAAAAAAATATGTAATTAATTAACTTATTAGTGGAAAGAGAAGATGATTTAATTTTGAAAGAAAAAATATCCTTATGATTTAAACCAGACTTTCAAAATAAAAGTCCAGAATCTTTAAGTAGAAATTTATGTATTAGATATTTATTTCAGAGTGATATTTACAACATTAAACAAAACAAAAAAAGGGGGGAAAATGGATGATGGTTTAATTTTGAAAACTTCTGTGAAAAGTTTAGATTCTGGTTTTGACAACTCCACTAATATTTTGAAAGTTATAATAAAACAATTATTTGAATTGAATGGTACAATTTAGAGATTTAATTAAATTCCAATTAAAAAGGGCTCAGTTTTCTACAAACAACATTCCAGTAAAGTAAGAGAAAGAAAAATCTTATATGGTAATAAATTTTAAGTAAAGCATATAATGACTTATCCTAGAAGAAATATTTCCCATTAAATTATTACAGCCTACAGATAATTCTACATACAATAAACCAATATGAGCTTTTATTTTCAATTATAAAAAATGTATTTAAGAACTTAATTCCAAAGAAATCAATACCTTACTTTGTTACTGTACTGACAGTAATTTTATAGATCCTTTCATAATCATATTGTTGCAGGTAACTTAAAAGGTTATTAACAATAAAGAGTTAAAAATAGTTTTAGAAAAAAGACACTGAATTTAGAATTTTAAGAAAGGCAAAAAAGTGATATATTAAAAGATTTAGAGAAAAATAGTAATAATAGTATTATTAAAATTAATAAAAAAAAATCTTATTATCCTCCCAGTTTCTTATTTGAATGGAAATTATTTGTCATTGATCTTATAAAAAATAAAAACTTTAATTTTATCTAAATATAAAATATGTATTTCTTTTAATATATTGGACAGAATGACCAGCTTCAGGTGGCTGGGCTAGTCTCAGCTTACATGGTTTATTTGTAAACATGTTTTCTTTTAATTAAAATGAAGGGAGAAGGATTGGATTTTAACTAATTATTATGGAACTATTAAGGTAAGGAATTTTTTTGTTCTGTTTAACACCATTTTGCAATTATTATTAAAAGGTATGGAGGTTGGGAGTCTTACAAAAGTTGAAATAGGGGTAGTTTATTTGTATTACAAAGTTAGTTTTATATCTAAATATTAGAATGATTACCTAATTTAACATCATTTTGTAAGACACAATACTTGTTGAAAAGGGTGGAGGTTGGGAGTATTAAAATTGTAGAAATAGAGGATGGTTTATTTCTACTACAAGGCTCTTTCTATACATCTAAAGACTAGGGGTGACTGCCTTCCCAGAACTGGCTGCTGACAGCGAAAGGCAGTACGAGACGAAAACATTGTAGGTTTAAGCACTCAACTCCTGAACCCCCAATTGATTTTCTGCTGCTAACTAGTTCAACAACTGCATCTGGATCATATCTGATAGATGGAATATCCCAAATGCTTTTGGAAGCTATGATCATAGGCACCTTCCATTATAACTCAATGGTAGTGATAAGGACTGGTAATTGATAATTTTTTTAAATTTCAATGTAAATACTTTTACTTTGATTTGTGGGTGTGGTTTTGGTATACAACTGTAACATACATCATAATTATTTTTTATATTATTATATTTTATACTAGTAAATTCAAGAGTCTTTTCATGCCGTTAGTTTTTAAAATTTATATATTCATTCACTTTGTTGTGTTTAATTTTACATTATTACTGATACCTAGAGAAGCCAGTTAGCCCATACCTCAGCTTGTACTATCCTTTCCAGTACAGCTTCAAGTGTATCATCTAATTTACACTTTAATACTCCTTCAAACCACTGAAAAAAACGATAAAAACACTTTCACACACAAGTAGAAATAATTATACACAAACATTCTGCTAAAATAAATCAGATATGTAACTCAAATTACTTGCTAAGAAGCAGCAACAAAATAACCTTGCATTACACATGAAAGTACAAAAAATTTCATGAATAAGAAGTAAAAAGAAAAGAAAAAAGACAACACTTTCATGTGGCCAGTAAATGTAATAAGAAACATTTCAGTACTCAAAGCATTTGAATTTAACATTAATCTTTAAGAAAAGACAAACTACAGAAAGAACCTATTCACTAATTATAGGTATATGTAATATAAAAGGGACTGCAAAATCTATTAAGTTAATCTTGGTTAACATAGCAGTTTCAGCAAGTATTTTCAGTATGGCTGTTAAAATGAAATTACAAAAACAAATATTTCAAAATTTTATAGTCAAGATTTCCAAAAAGTTAAGCAACTCAGGAATACTGCTGTTGCTGAAACTGAAAAACTCAGTGTACATATATAAAACTGAAAATAGACAAGGTATTACTCAATGTTAAAAAACCTAAGATGTCAACTCTGTAACCTAGGTTATATTATTCATACCAATATTATTAAAAAGGTAGATAAAACCATTATGTTTAAAATCAAAAATTTTTCTTGCAATTCTAAGAACTGTATCTATATGTTAAAACATATACTCGTTGTGAATGTTACATTATTCAAACTGAAAATTTATGATATAGAAGGAATCAACACAAGTTTCATGTTAAAATTCCAAGTCAGTGTCCATTAAGATACTCTGAACATTTTTACAATATAATATTAATTACCCATGGTATATCTTTTTCTGTTTTCCATTTGATTTCATGATGATCAAGAAGAAAGATTATTGTATCAGTTATTTAATAAAAACATTTGGAAGTAATTTGAATTTTATGTAAGTAACTTGTGAATTTCATAAGTATTTAGTTATGTTTTATACATATATATTACTTAATATTCATAAAAATAATATGCAAAATATTTATTTTATTCATAATATTACATTGTTTATGGATTTGAAATAAAATTCATTTATATATTTGTTAATATATTGTTATTGGGAAGTATTTAGTGTATAAGCATTTTGATTGTTAAAAAGTATTATGTATTGTATTTAATTAGGTAGTGTGAAGAGCAGAATAGGCTGCAAAAGTGCATCCAACCAACTACAGACATTAAAAAATAACAGTATTTTGAGCCTTTTAATATTTTTGATATATTATTACACTTGAGAATATCACTCTTCTTTATCTATATAATTCTTTCAAAACTACTTTGAAAGAATTATGTAAATAACATATTATGGTACATGATATTATAAATTACACAAATGTACAAATACATTTTCTAATTAATGTATACAGAAATTGAGTACATTATATCAAAATTAATTTTGAGCCACATCACATCATTACAGTTCATGTTGCCACATCCAGTGATGCACTATCTGATAACCTTGCATCTTGACAATAGCCCTGCAGTGTATTTCTCTCACAAAGGGCTCTACCCTAGGGCTAACATGTCCACAGCATGCCACTCCTCCCTACATACTTTCTATAGCCATCTACAAATATTTATCAGTCAGGGACAGTTTCAACAATTTGTCAGACAAAATTCACAGGAACAACATCTGATGACTTTACTAGGATGTTTTCATATGGAATATCATGAATACCTAAATTATTCTCTAGCTGCTTGAAGTATAACATGGTTGAACACATGTTGTGGAAGCAATGTTTGTAAATGACTTTTGTTGCTTTTAAAGGTGTTGAACCCTTCTTTAGTATGTTGCATACTGTTGCCTGGGCTATGTGGATAACTTTTGTCACTGTGTTTCTGGATTCTCATCTGTTGAAAGATGCCACACTTAGCTGAGAATCAACTTATTGCAGATCTCACTGTGGATGGTCTTCATGACCCAAGGAAGGTGATCAGTATTTCTTTTTTCCAGTAATGATAAAGACAAGGGATATCACCATCTTGAAAACTATAAATCCCCAAATTGAAGACATCTTTATGATTCAAGAGTATGAATAGTTTGTGTTTGGAGAACCATAACATACCCTTCTCAAAAGCAATCTAATTTTGGTGGCCTCAAACTACTTAAAAATTGAAAAACAATGACAAAATGTAGTTCTGATACATAGTTCCACCCAGACTTTATATTGGTTGTGGTTGTCACATGATCTGTTGATTTGCACCTTTAAAGTAGTTTTAAAACAAGGTACTCAATCCTCTACAACTTGAATTTATATTTTATAAATTCAACTACTGAAAATATTAAATATAAACTTGTTTCTGATGCCTATTTAAGCTGAAAAGCACAAGGAAAATTAATTAAACAAGTTTCTGTTTATTAATGGAATAATAAATATAGACATAAATCCTGTACAACATTTCTTTATTTAATTCAAACAAAAGCTGACACTTTACAAACCTGAACTCTGTGTTCCAGTGCCTTCTTTACAGTAACGTCCAAATTATTGTAAGTCTTCTCAGCAGCCAGATTCTGTAATAAGATTATTTCACTTACATTTAGGAATTGTAACAGTATAACGCACCATAAGCTTTGAGAAAAGGTCTTGACAGTAGTGTTTAATATCCCATTTCTTTGCACAACACACACACACACAAAACCAATTAAATTGACCAATATCTTCAATCTTTTATGTTAACATCTCTTTTTAAATAGCAGTAATGTTTACATCATGCTCTCATTAAACAGCAAATGTACATTATTCTATATATTTTGTCATTGAGTAATATAGTTTTAATTAAATCTACATATATGATTAAACATTTTATAATGACAGTTAAAATAACTGATTACTTGCTTTGTTTGGTATAAGAGACTACATTTTATGATATCTTTCACAGCAGTAAGTCAGCTTCTAATTAATAAAGTATAGTTAATATTTCATAATACACACACACACACACACAGTTAAATCTAAAACATCACCTATTGTTTTGCACTGCTTTCACTTTATTATTTTTCAAGAACTTCTTTCACATATTACAGGATATTTCTCACTTTTAGAAACATCTGCATCCTTTAAGTAAAACTTAGTATAATCCTAACTAAGATACTTAGATAAATTAACTGCATTCATAGGAGATGAAATTAATGTAAACTAAAGCAAATTATATAAAAAATTAAGAATTCATTGAAATTCTATTGTTGCTACATCTGGTGTATACTAAATGGTGCACATAAAAATATCAAAAACAATAACAACAACAAAAAAATACACTAACAATAACATCAAACTTTGCATATATATCCACCACTTTCCCCTGTTCATCCTCTACAGGTAAAGCTGAGACCCGTCTCTCTATGAACTGGTTCAATGCCAGAATAACTGGAGTGCTCACTTTGATCTAAACCAAACAAGTATGTATACTAATATAAAAGTTGATAATTCAATTCCAACAGAATTAATTGGTTATTTTTCATAAACACAGTAAATAAATGAAAACAATAATAGGATTGAACTGTGTATTTAATTTTATTTTGAAGAAAAGTTTTACTTCCACATTTGGAAATAAGTTTAAATATAGTCCTAGAACATTAAATAATTTGTAAATAGGCTATTTATAGGGTACTCAATCTTGTGATATACAAATGTAAAAAAAATGTAATATTCCTTTTGTAGCAGCAAAATTATGGTTATTTTAATTTATAAACTACAGTACTATTTTATTCTACATAGCTCTGTCACAGTTGTTCAGAAAAACTAAATGTTGATAATATTCATGGAAACAAATCAAATATATTTCTTACCTGCAAGTTTTAAGAAATTCTAAAAGGTTTACTTTCAAGTCCAATTAGAAGTATAATGAAGGAAAAAACTCAGTAGTGCAATTAAAATAGATACATTGCATCAAATACAGCAATAGTTAAACGTGAGAAGAACAACAACCAAGTTCTAAATTAACTTAACATAGCAATCTGTACTGTACAAGAAATAATCAATTGCACAAAAATGCATGTACAATATTAAACAAACATTTTTCATGACAAAAAAATATGAACATAAAAATTCACATACCTATACATTTTATTATAAACCCATATTACTAGCTCAAACATACAAAATATACACTGTACAAAGTACCAGTTCTTATTTAAGCTGAAATAAAAATGGTTACCTTTTCAAATACTTATATGAAAAGGTTTACTTATAATTGAAGCCTGGATTTTAGCAAGTTCATAGGCTTACCATTGTCCTACCAGGGGGACAACTTAATTAGGAGAACCAGTTTAGAGCAATACTTAATAAAATGGTAAAACACAAATAAAACATATGGAATGCAATTTTATATATTTTATTTTCCAGACCTTACAAGCAATGATTATATTAGGGCATATAAAAATTCATATCTTCTACTATACATAGTTAGTTAGGCACACTGATAAAAATGTTTAGCAAAACTTGATGCATATGTTGAAGGACATATTTTTCAATCTTTGGTTCACTAGAGGGAGTTTTCTTTACATGTAATAATTGTGTGAAGATTAGAAGTTTCATGAAAGTTTAGGTTGCAGTGAAATCTCAAATTTTTGTGAAATAGAGTACAATATATATAAATGCCAGACTGAGTGAATTAAAATTAATTAACTTAGTGTCAGATAGTTTCAGTGAATTAGGGAGTCTGTTCATCAGTGACAGAGTTAGAAATAAGCTCAATTACTTACTTGCAAAATTTATTTCTAATCAATCAATAACAAATAAGCTGACTGAAAAAATTGCTGAGTCAAACATATTAGTTTTAGGATTTTCTATTGAAATGTTATTTTTGAAGTTAGGCCTACCAGTGAACATAGCATGTATAGAATGCAACTTAAGAAATTAATTACTTCATTATTATGAAAAACACTTTGCATTGTTTTTCCCAAGTAACTTGGAAAAACCTGCTTATTGATAGAACACTATGAAAAGAATGTTAGTATTTTGTAATGGATGACAAAACTTTACATGTTTAATGTATATTAAAGCATATTCACAAGCAATAATCCATTATTTAGTTTAATGAGTCAAAAATTAATAATGCTTTCTGACATAGACTGATCTATATACAGAAAAAAAAACCACTACATAACACAAAATTATAAATTAACAAAGATATTAAGGCTCTTTCCTGACTGGGTTAAACTATCCACAGTGTAATTATAACCTTACCTGGCTATTAATTCTCCTCTAAAAAAATTGTAAAATGAGTAGAAAAACAAAACTTAACAAAAAAACTCCTTTTCTCCTCCTAACTCTGTCGTTAATAATTTATATACATCAGCATATTTCAAATGCTTACAACACTTAACTTATCCCAGTGTCACAAACAAATTGAGTAAACACCTTGTAAATCCATTATCATATGACTGTTGAGTTGCATTATACACTGTAGTATAAGCTTAAACAAGATTACAAAATGTAAGTAGGAAACTTGTAAGTTATTAATAGAAGTTGTGTGCTTAATGATATATGTCATGTAACGATTATATGCCAACAGACACTTGCATTTGTAGGAAGAAATAATGCTAGATTAATTCATCACATTTCTTATAGCATAAGGCATCAGAACATCGTTCAATAATCTTAATAGTGTATATTTATGGTCTCATAATGCTTAATCTATACTTGCTTTAAAATAAATAACATTACTAAACCCTACCAATTAACAAACAAGGCAGACTATGAAAATTTTTCAAAGCTCAAATGTGCATAACAAACAAGATGTTTAAGTACAAAGTTAGTAGTGCAATGTTTTCATAAGTTTGTTTTCTGTCAGTGGATGAGGTGCTGCAAACTGAGACATAGTATTATCCTCATATTGATTACAACAAATTCACATAATAGAAGTACAAAAATGTTTTGCACAGAACTAAATTATTTTTATTAATTTACTTAAGATTTGATATACAACATCAGTCAAATACAGTCTCCACTGATGATAATGGTCAATACAGAAATAAGAGTTAACATTGAAAGTGCCATGATACGTAAATATGAGGTGTGAATTTAATCAAAAAGTAGCAAAAATGCTATGCTGTTCTAAATGCATTTACAGGTCAGAGAAGGATGTGGATGATAAGGAGGTTATAGTTATAGGCAATTCCTTGATAAGGAATGTGGGTAGAATAGCCTGTGGGGGTAAATAGGGAGAAAAGAATCAGATTATGCTACCCAGGGGCACAGGTGGAGGATATAACTTACAGAGCAGGAGATATAATAAATGGGGCTAGCAGAGATGCAGTTTTTTGTGGTGCATGTAGGGAAAGGTAGGTCAGGGGAGCTAATTAATACAAGTACAAGTGGTTGATAAAGGCATTTAAAGAAAAAGGCCATAATTTAATTTTGTCAGGGATATTGTCCAGAATTAACTGTGGGGATGAAGTTATAAGTAGGTTATTAGGGCTAAACGCTAGACTTAGGTTTGTATGTAAGGATGAGCAGGTTAGCTAGTTGGACTTGTGGGATCAGTTCAGTAGAAGAAGGGAGTTTTTTGGAATGGATGGTTTACATTTAAATAGAGTAGAGGCTGGCTTGTTTTGCTAACTCAGCTGTAAGTTTTAAACTAGGACTGGACAGTGGTGAGGGCCAGGAAAAACTACATGCAAAAAGAACAAGAGGCAGAGAAAAGTTTAGCATAGGAAATGAGTATAGAAGTATTTATAAGGATAAGCTTGATTGTTACTGTTGTAATTCTAGAAGTATAAGTAATAAAAGATGACTTTAGAGCACTGGTAGGAATGGAGGATTTTGATATAATGGAAATAACGGAAACATGGTTGAACGTAGATGATTCAATGACAAATTGTTTTTTGAAATACAGGGTTATAGGCTATTTAATAGGGATAGGGTTGTTGTTGTTTTTAAGAAGTGAGTTGTTGAAGCTTACAAGATTATCTGCAAGATTGATGGGATAAAAGCCTGATTTCTGTGAGGTATATATTCTGAAGATAAGACAAGAGGATTCAAGTCTAAGATTTAGAAAAAGACAGGGTAAGTTATTTTTTCAAAGTTGATTGACTAGTCAAATAAGCTTCCATTGGAAGTGGTGGAAGCCAGCACTTTGCAGAAGTTTAAGAAGAGGATGGTTCATTTCTGGAAAAATAGAAGGTGGTTTTAAATTTTTACTTTTCCAAAGAGATTGGTGTGTTAGGGCAGCCTTAAAGGACAAAATGGCCTCTTGTTGTCCACATGTTAAGATGAAAGTCAGCTTTGAACAATATTCACAACTCTAAAATTTTGTCTTTAAGAAGTTGTAGATTTTTTTCTTAGAATTTTAGCTTCTATAACATCTTTTATGTTTATTGATAGCTAAGTCTTTTCAACTCATTATATGTGTTGTTATTCTTGTTAAAACAACCTATATATTACAAATTAACTTCAAATTTTACAAGTATATTAAAGCAAGATTTTTTTTTCTGTAAAGGAACAGCTGAACCCTGCTGGTTCAAACCTGGCTTTGGGTAACTTAAAAGTCTTAGGTGACTTGTTACTAATTTTTTAGCTTTTCCTACAATACTGAAATTGGGTTGTGTTATAAGTAATATTTATCTTAAGTATTTAAGTAATCAGACAAGACAAGTATACTAGATGTATTATGGAAAGCTTTCAGGGATGTGTGGTATGCTTTACACATAACAGCCTTATAACAAATATTTTTGCAATGGAAGCTGTTCTACAGGATTATTGTTAATATACAGTTGTCAGATAGAGAGTGACCTGCATGTGGCAACAACGAGTGTAATTAATAACAGTGAGATTTCAAAATCATTTTAATATAACATACTCAACCCTCTGTATAACCAGAATAGACTAATTCTGAAGGCTTAAGTCATAATTACCTTACAACTGTTATATTGGTTAAATATTCTATCACTTTCTTCTTTGTAACTGTACTTAATGTCTTGAATACAACCTGTTGGCTTACCCATTCACCAGTTGTTTTTTTTCTACTAATTGCTGTACTCTGATGTTTATCTTTACAAGTGTTTCTTTTTTAACAAAATATGGTTTGCAAATCAAAAGTCAAGCATTTTTGTTTGCAAGAGAATATTTTTTATGTATACATGCATGCTCAAAAAAAAATTTAGAGATAAAATCTGCACAAAACAGAGCAAAAGATTTCTTGTCTTTCTTGGTGATACAAGCTATATAACCTAGCTTTCATTCAAAAAGACTTATGCATGGCAACTGTCATTTTACATGGAAACGTTTAAGAGTATTATTAATTGTGACACATGTTGCTTTCAGCTTGATATGTCTAATTCCAAAAATATTTGCATTAGCAACAAAAATAAATTCAGCATTACATTATAAATATTATCTAAAATGAAATTTAAATATTTATGAACATTCAGTTACATAATACAACATTATGCAATTTGGGCTTACTTCAACATTGTAGTTAGTTGTCACTCAAAAATATCTAAGCCTAGTAACATTTAATGACAAAATAATCTCCATCTAATAGAAATATAAAAACTTTTCCAGAATGTTTTACTTAAATCAAATATTGTTTAACTTTAAAATAAGAAATTCTTTAGATATTAATAGTAATTTATCTAGAACCTATAGTCACCAGTATCAAACATTGAAAAAATACATACTGTGGCAATATTATCAAAAGTTCCAACTTTTAGTTCCCTCAGAGTTTTTTTCAGGTAGCTTGGTTTTGGAAGCTCAGAAAACTATCAAATATAGAAAGAAATGCATTGTATGAATAAGCATTTCTCAAGCACATGCACATTTGTATGGAAATACACTTCAATTGCTTGTTACTAAATTGATTAATGTTCATAATGGAGTTAATTTTAAAATTGTTATATTAGTCATACAGAATACATAAATAATTCTACCATCTAAGAACTATAATAGAAACTCATAAGTTTCAAACATTCTG